GGAAAAGGATAATTCGGTATTCATGAAACCAAAAGACACAAAATTCAATTGCATTCGTGCAATCAAAATAATACCCAATTCCATTTATGAAACTAAAAATACACAAAACTTAATTTCATTCATGAAACCAGTACAAAACTCATTTTCATTAATGAAACTGGGATCGATGAAGATACCTTGATTACCTTCCATGAAAAAGAACATGGTGACCAAATAAAAAAATATGACAAAATATAAAATAATGATGATGTATTCAAATAATTGAACGGAACGGTTACATTAAACAAAAATAACGCGTTAAAAAGGTAATTGATTTAATCCGATAACTGTATTAAGTTCTTAAATTATCCATTAATCAATAAAACACAATAGTTTCCTTTTAATTAAATAAATATCGCCAAAATTAAACAAAATGGATGGTTAGATTAGGTTTTGTAAAGTTTGTATTGATGTGATGGTTTGTAAGTGATCTCCGTTATATATTCTCAAATGATTAAGTTTTTATATATATATATATGGCATTCCTTTAAAAACTTGCTAATTTGTGAAGTTCGTGATATTCAAATTAAACCACAAAAAATTAGTTGAAAAAAAATTCAATATAAATTAAAAACATATATTCTTCTCTCTGATCTCTTCTCTCTCCTATTTTTCTCCATCTCTTCTCTCTCCAATTTTCTCTCTCCATAACATCCATCTATCAGCTTAATGTGAATACACTTTAACACTTTCTTATAAATATTAGTATAATTTTTGAACATATTGTGAACATCCTCTAAATCTACGAAATTTGCTATAACATGTGAACATATTATGAACAAAAACTAAATCAACAAAACTAAACATAAATATACCACTTGTGAACACCCTGGTACAAATTTATTAAAGTTGTTTATATTGTGTTCATATAGTTCACCTTGTGTGCATGATGTGTATGTTGACACGGAGATAGGAGAGAGAGAGAAAGAGATAAAGATGAAATTTATTAAAAGAATGCATTAACTTTCATTTCATAAATAACAATAATTATCTCCTTAATTAATAACAATAGTTATCTTAAATTAGTGGCTTAGTTTAGATCTCACGCATCTCAAATATTTTGGAGTTCTCAAATGATTAAGCCTCTACACATACACACACATACCTTCTTCTGTTAACCACCTGGATAGTACTATGAGATATTTTCGTCTTTTTCATATATTGATAATACATTTCTTATTTATCCCGTTTACCTTATTTAAATTTCTTAATTATCTGATTCACTTTCCGGTTTCACTTATAAACTTTGCTAATTTTTTTAGAATAACCAATGTTCGTTCACGAAACAACATTATAAACTTTAAACAAGAATGATTATTTTACCTATCAACTTTAAACAAAAATCATTGTTTCACCTATGAACTTTGGTAAAAAAAAAATCGGGACAATAAAAATTCATAGATGAAACAACACTACGAACTTTAAACAAACACCATATAAAACATGATTATGTTTCGAAAATAAAAATAAACATCATATTAAACAAAGGTCATGGAGGAAAGGGGATAAAGTGGTTAATTGATGATTATTTTTCAAAAATGAAACATGACTCTCTTCTAAAAGTAAAAATAATTTAATTTCTTTTTCATTAATTTATAACCTCGTATTTAACCGTAACGGTTGGTCAAAAAATGAATGACCCTTATAAATTTGTAAAGTTAATACTATTTACTTCATTAACAAATGATTATGTCTTTATATGTATAAATATACATACATGTATTTGGGTTGTTTTATGATGGGATCATTAACGAATTATCTATACTATATTATAAAGCATTTGACAAAAACCATTTTTTATGCACGAAGTATTGTTTGTTGATGCATATTACTTAAAATTTAAGATTACAAGTAAATTGTGCATAAGTACAACTTATTAAAGCTCCATATTTGAATTCGCGTAACTAACTACAGATAAACATAATCAAATRTTGGATAAACATCTCATATTAAATATAAAAATCTAGAATATAATTAGGATAATCATTGAGTTATAACAGAATACTTAATAATTATCTTTATAAAAAATTATATTATTAAATTTCTTTGTTACTAAACCTAAATTAAATATAATTAAAAATCTTGAATTAAGGAAATTACACCAAAACATATGAACTTTTAAAAAGATTAATTTTTGATATTGAAATCGATATATTTTATTTTCAAAAATTTATGATATTTTCAAATTTATATTTTATTCAAAAATAAAAACAATATCGCTTTATCAAAACCATATAAAACCATATTATATCGACATAAAAAGGGAATACAACGAAATACTGAAATCATGATGTGTTTCGACACATTGCACGAGTACCTTTCTAGTAACATTTTAAAGAAAATAGTTATTTGTATTAAGATGCACACAAAAGGGTGTTTTATTTAGATAAATTGTATATTATTAAAATGTCTCTTATACCCCTTCATCTGAGAAACCAACTTGTTAAAAAGATGGAATATAGTTCAAGTAGAGTCTTCATTCATTTTAACTGACAAATACCGGGTGTCGGTTGTATTTGAGATAGAATACAGTCCAAGTAGAGTCTGTATTTCATCTTGAGTTTTGGTAATTACCTTGTATTATGATAAAACTGTCATTTATATTAACATTATTTTCAAGGAATTCACTAGACCTTCCGATCTAACCCATTCTTTTAAAGCTAAAACTTTTCAGGCAATGTTGTGATTACTGGCAATGGTAAGGGCAAGATGTAACCTTGCGGTTAACGGTTCCATAGAAGCTGTTCACCTAGTTAGTTGCAATTAGTTGATGTTTTGTACAAAGCTTTAAATGGGTATTTTTTTTTGTTAATTAGTAACCCGATGATGGTTACAAAAAGTGATTACTTTAAATTTTTCGATGATACATCAAATAAGAAATAAATTTCGTTTTATATATCAACATTTGATTACCTGTAATGACAATCTAAGATCTAACACCAACGAAGATAAACCAAACCTTACATAAAGTCTAGGTTAAAGTCTAGGTTATGAACGAGTGTCACTAAAACCCATCAATTGTCGCTATCTCCAAAGTATGGAAGTATAACTAATTTCTTTTCATGCCTCTAACTAGCACTCAACTTATTGCAGTGTCGCTAGTACTGTTCCCCAACAAGAACCTGATGTACATGTTGACAAAAAGAAGGATTAGACTTGACGCCTAGTGAGCTCAAATATTTTTCATCATTAATATAAAATGATAAAACTGAAAGACTGTTATTTAAATCAAAATTTCTCAAATGAAATGTATTTAATACTCACTCAAAACATGCATAAAATTTAACTTGGAACCAAAACCCAATACTCACTCAAAACATACATAAAGTTTAACATTCATATACTAAAAATATTAATAAAACTCTGGTATCCAAAATACTCAAAAACATGGATAAGATTAAATATACCAAAACCATAAATCATAAAAAAAAATTCATACCCAAAAACGTCAACAAAACATGGATTATACTTAATACCCAAAACAACACCTTTTGGTGACGACAGAGACCCATTTCCATCAAATTGGTAGAACACAAAAGTAGGCTACGTGTTACACCCTTAGATTATATTTTCTTAGAAAGTTTGAAAGTACAGGGGTTATTTGTGTTAAGTTTCCTTTGTTGAGGGTTTGTGTAGAAATTGGGTGGTATAAATACCCACCACCACCGCCTTATTTTCTTTGATATGAAATAACTTGTAATTTTGTATGTGCTTTTGTGTGTGTGTATAAGGGTGCGATCAAGGAGAGAATTACTTTTATTATTATCCAAGTAAGTTTTCTTCCCCTTTTAACATGAATTTTTTTAAGAAGGAAAGAGTTATAAAACAAAAATATATGAGGAATAAATAATTTTTTTTTTATTCTTTTCATTTTTGAATTATAAGATATATATATATATATATATATATATATATGGGTGAGTTCAAATAAAAACCATTCAATTTGTAAAAACTATGAAAACCTCATTCAACCAATCATAATTTTTCATTTTGTTCATTTTTTTGTAATTATGAAAGGTTGATTAACCATTTTTATTGTGGAGGGTGTTAATCATAGATATTATCATCTTCATCATTTTAATTTTAGAGAAATAAATGAAACACTTTCATTAAAATTTCATTAAGTAGTATATGAAACAATTTCATAACCACATATGAAACAACTTCATCAAAAAAAGTATTATATGAAACAATTTCATAACCACATATGAAACAACTTCATCAAAAAAAGTATTATATGAAACAATTTCACAAGATTAACAATTTCATGAAAAAAATTCACAAGATTAACAATTTCATGAAAAAATTTCATAAGATTAAAGATGGATGAGAGCAGTTTTTACGGTTTTTACAAATTGGAGTGATTTTCATTTGATCGCTCCTCTCTCTCTCTCTATATGTATATATATATATATATATATATATATTTGTGATGGATGAGTTATACCCGTCAATCTTTCGATTCTAAGTGTTCTTGGGAGTTTACCCGATCAGTTTTATTAATCCAATGATCAAGGATAATATGGCTTCAAGTCTAGTGTTTTGAAGTAATCTTTATGTTGCATCTTAGCATTTTTGAACCTTTATACTTAAGTTTTTTATGTGATTTTGAGTATGGTAGTAAGCTGGTGTTTGCAGGTTGAAAAACAGGGAAGAAAAAGTGAAACAGGGAGTGCGCGACAAGTCGTCGCGGGATCCACTGTTTTGGAATTTTTTTTTTCGGTTTTTGCTTTGTATCGTTTTGGGGTATTTTTTTTATATGTCTTAGAGATTGTTTAGAGGTAAGTTTGAGTTTATTTATTTAAGTTGTGTTCCATGCTTACGTGATTCAGATTCAAGTGTTTGGTTTCGATCATTCGTTTCGGTTAAAGTTTAAATTCACTGTATATCGTATTGAGGTGAGCTTTTCTTATAACCATTTTTTAATTGAAATGCATATATCATGAAATGGTTATTGTTTCTATGTTATATCGGTTTGGTATGGCTGGATCATGACCGTTAATTGAATACATGTTGATGGAAATTAACACCTGTGAGTTTAATTATAAACTTTTGAGCTGGAATGCATAAGGTGTTGAATTATTTCATTTATGAAATGATGTGTTATTTGATATGGTTAGGTTATAAAGTGTTTCAGTATTATTATAATCAACAGTCAAGGTTATTATTGCTGTATTTGTTAATGTGGAAATCGGGTGTGGTAAATATGATAGAACCGATGCATATGATTGGGTGGTATATGTGACAAAGTGGGGTATATAATTGAAGTGTTGAGCCGTGGGCCAACATGTATTTGAAAGAGATCTAGAACCAGTTATTTATCTTATATGTGGTTGAATTATTTTATTTGAAAGAGACGTGGAACCAATTATTTATCCAATTTGTGAAATCCAAAAAATTATTGAAAATCAAGAATAAACATTAAGAGGTTGTTACTGAAGCTCAAAAAAGCATCCTAAATGTTTTTTTGAGTTTGCACCAGTAGTATAGAAGATTTGTTAAGCAGGTCTGCAAAAATACGACGACCATTGCCACCGAGAACACCAATTTGGAGACGGGTGGTAGAGACGGGGACATGATAAAGTTTCGAAGGCCAACTTTCAGCAAGACAATCTCCTTCCATTTTCTCGAAATGTCAATCCAAGATATTAAGATTGACTATAAAAATGGTGACTATAAAAATCTGCAATAAATTGAACACAACATGCAAGGATATATATATATATATATATATATATATCTTTACATTATAAACTTTAAAAGATTCTTACATAAAGGAAACTCGAATTTTTCACTCCAACCAGTTGATAGTAATTCCTCAATACTGACTCTAATTGTAAACTTGGCTTCATCAATTGGAACTTAAGCGATGTCTGGAATGTGAGTTAATTGCACCCGGTTAGAGATAGTAAAGAATCTTTCTATCAAAGACTTCACGTAATCTATTTGAAGATTATGATATACTTTAGCAGAAGTCGTGGAACCAGACTTTAGGGCTCTTATTGAAAATAAAAACAACAGTTAATCATTATACGTTAATATTTTAATGCATATGTAAATTCGATGATAAAAAAAAAAATACAATTTGGTTACCTTTGAATTTTTGTAACTCATATCGAAGTCATAGTTATAGCAGGAATGTCATCCGTTCCAAAAAGAATGATGCATCAAACGTCTCCCCTAATTTCCCCCATAATGTGATCTTCACTGTGATGGAGCTAACGAAGCATAATAATAACGAGTCACTTACTAATCGGTAATGACTTCAAGGTGCTATTTTTTTCAACCACCTCCAACGATTTCAATTTCACCAACACTGCAAAGACGTCCTTACGACATCTGTATTAGAAATACGATGTATAAATATAATAAAGAAGTTAGAATAGGAAATTTTTACATAAAAAGAATAAGAGCAGATAATTTAGGTTTATAAACCTGACAGTATTATGTCATCATGGACACGTGATTCAACTAAACTTTGAGATATAAAGTCGAAGCCATTTATAGGTGTTTTTATCATATCTTCTTCTAATCTTTTTATGAAAGTGAAAGTCAAAAAACATATCTTGTACTTAGTTGACAGTGGTCGTTAATTTCCTTCGCTTTCAATAATAATCTCAAACTCTTTTTGACGGTACAAAAAACCCTCGCTCAATAGATGACGAAACCTTGGGACCAGGTTCTTATGCACAGATGCATACATTAAGGTTTCCTGTAAAAAATGTGGATAATAAATTAGACAAATTAGAACAGATTTGTAATGCAATCGACGATCTCATTATACCTTCTCATCGATTAAAATCATGTCGAAACTAATCAATTCTCCTCATTTCTTTGTGTTTAGACATTTCAACGTTCTACAAATCCGAATTTTTATAACGTAGTCATCGTGATCATTTTTCAAGTCTTTTAGTAAAAAAAATACTCCATGAAGCTTAAAATCAGATAACAAAATAATTATTCTAAGTACTTGGAAATGATAACATTTTCTACAACATTTATATAGAGAAAAATTGAAGTAGTAATTGTAAGTCAAATAAAAATTAAATTATTAGCAAATCATAACTGAAGTAAAATTATAAGTCAAACCTCATCAAAGGTGAGGAAGGTGTGTGAATTTATTTGTTGTATATAAATATTATATACTTAAAAAAACCTCATATCCTGATTCACAAAAAAGAATCTGACATCCTGATATATTATATGACTACCCAAACTAATTATTTAAATAACCCTAAATGATAATAATCTTAATCAGTTTATCTAAAATGTAAAAAATTTAGGGGCTGTTTACCAAACGCTTACTCGGGTAAGTGAACATTAAGTCACATTACCTTACCGGATGAATATGATAAGAATCAAGAATCTTACCCAATAAGAGCGAGACAAAAACCAATAGTTTTACCCGGTAAGTGAGGGTGACGACTCTTATCATGGTAAGCGCTTAACAGGTATATTGTTGCATACGATACCGTTTTGGTGGACTAAAATCTTACCCAGTAAGTAAATAATAGTGTTAAATTTTATCGATAAACGCTTACCGAGTAAGTGTTTGATAAACGGCTCCTTATACTAGAAAATTAGTCAAACTTATCTTTTACATCAAATCTTATCCAAGTAAACACATCAAATTTTTTGTACCGACACTAAATCATGATGTAATGCTATTTATTAACATATTTTTTTATTTAATATATAATTAAGATAATAATAAAAACATGCTGCTTGCTGTTAAAAATAGTATAATAAATTAAAGATGAATTATTATTTGCATCAAATTAATATTAACATTTAAAATGGTCTTAAAATTCAAATCATAAATCACAAAGGGTGGTGTTCAATTGGTTTGAGTTTAGGTTTCAAAGATCAAAAGTACTTGGAGGTTTCAAGTTCGAATCCAAAATAAAAATAAAAATCCCCTTGTGGTCATGGAGGTTCAAATGCGGTGACTCTGTACTACCCATGAAACAGATGGTCACCCTGAGATTAGTCTGCTCGCATTGCGGGTTAAATATCCAGATTAATAAAAAAAAATTCAAATCACAATAATCAATTTAAACAAAGAACCTAAGGGGCCGTTTACCAAACACTTATCCGGTAAATTTAACACTATCATTTACTTACCGGGTAAGATTTTACTCCACCAAACCGGTACCGTATGCAACAATGTACCTGGTAAGCGCTTATCATGGTAAGAGTCGTCGTCCTCACTTACCGGGTAAGACTCTTGGTCTTTGTTTCGCTCTTACCAAATAAGATTTTTGGTCTTTACCATATTCATCCGATAAAGTAACGTAACTTGATGTTCAGTTATCCAAGTAAGCGTTTGGTATTCAGCCCCTAAATGATCCCTAACTTTACACAAACTTCCAATTTTGGCTCAGAACTTTGGTTAGATTTTCAAATGTTGACGATGACAAAAATAATTAATAAATCGTCCACATGATTGTTATTTTTTTCATTACTTTTTTGATTTAATGGTGGGAGCCATGTGACTGTGAAGTGGGTGGCGGAATAATTTCTGCTACTTTTTTTAAACATGTTTAATTCCACATTTTTTAAATATTTTTTTTAATTGATGATATTTTGACCAATTAAATAAATTTATTTATTTATTTGTTAATAAAAATATTGAACTAAATAACATATTTTTTCTTGTTAAGCAAATGAATATTTGTGTGTTATATACTCTTAAAAGTTCATTTAAGGGTTACAACACCCATTTATTGGTAATAGTCATCACTCTTACTTACTTTATCTAGTAATATTCTTGGTCGTTAAAATTACATTATTGGTAAATGTCTACTCGATAAGAATAACCACTCTCACTTACCAGGTAAAACTCTCGATCTTTGTCTTGTCTCTTATGAGATAAGAGTAATGGTCATTGTTATGTTCATCCGATAAAGTTAGTAATCTAGTAAACGCTTATCCGATAAGGTGATTTGATAAATTAGTTTCAAATTTTGATTAAATATATAAGCGTTTGTATTATCGTCAATTAGCCCATTCCTTTTCCTTCCATTACGACCAACCTCTCGGTTTCAGTCGCCCTTTTTTTTCTTTTTTTTAAAGTTTTTATTTATTTTTTAATCTTTTATAATTAATTGCTAACTTGTTTTTTAACCTATCGTAAAAATACTGTTTATTTAGTCATAAGCTAACTTATTGAAATATTATTTAGATAATCTCCATCAGATGAATTGCTTCATCCATATCCTTCTATCGATTTCAGCAGGTTTAGATAACCTCCATCAGGTAACAATTCAACAGATTTAGACGGATATACATATTGTTTTTCATTTCTATCACATCCTCTACTCATATATATCGAAGCAGGTTCTTCAGGATACAGACAGATTCCAAGCTTCCAGGGTTAGTTTCCTTCAATCTTTTGTTTTTGTTTTCGATTTCAGTTATCTACACTATACGTGTTCTCTACGATATTTTTTATTTATTCAAACAGAGTCAACATCTTTCAAGGTTCGTTTCCTTGTTTTCTTCAATCTTTTGTTTGTTATTCAAAATTCAATTTCTAGGGTTAATTTTTGTGTTAAAGCGTATGCATCAATGAAAAAATGTTCTTCTTTGTGATTATAGACATAATGACCAGGGGTTAGTACTCATATGACAGTGGAATCCAGACATTTCATCTATTTTCTTGGTTCATCTATCAATGCTATTTTACCACATGCTACTTTCTTTCTGTGTGTAAGTATAATTTATTAAAACTTCATATTTAAATTTGTGTAACTAACAACAAATACCCATAATTATCTATACTATATTATAAAGCATTTGACAAAAACTCTTAAAAACCACTTTTTATGCGTAAAGTACTGTTTATTAATGCATATTACTTAAAACTCAAGATTTCAAGTAGATTGTACGTAAGTACAACTTATTAAAGCTCCATATCTGAATTCGTGTAACTAATTGCAGATAAACATCTCATTTTAAA